TCTAAACAAACAAAAAAAATGGTCGCCAGAGTACAATCATTTTCTATGTCTGTCGCCCTCCTTTGATTTCTCATTTTTTCTTCTTTTTCTTAGAGAAAAATTTCAAGTTCTAAATAAATATTTTTTTAATTTTAGTTACAGACTGTGAAAACTGAGAAATTTTATAGTTTTGAATATACGTTTATGGTTTTTTCTATAACTCTATCAATTTTTTTTCCTTTATTAAAATAGCAAATATTAACAAACAAAAAAAAACTACTTATATGACCCCAAAAAAAAAAGCAAATATTAACAAACTAAAAAACTACAAACCCTTACAAACTACTAATATGAGATTTCCACCATCGTCGCGATGTAAAATTGTGTTTTGATAAGTTACAAACAAGCAAATTGATAATTTTTGTGGTTTTGAAACTCTAAATTTTTATAATTTTGTGAATTGAAAATTATGTGCACTATATAATGAAGTGCTTTTTTATTCATGCTTTGTGGTGTTGGAGAAGATGTGTTTAAATTTGGCTATGTTTTTGCTTTAACTCTCTCTTTATTCTTCTTTTGTTTTTGACGATGTTCGAGACATTCCAATGAGTGTTTGACGATGTTCTCGACGTCCAGTGACGTTTTGGATATTCCGGTGACTTCCGATGACATTCAAAATATTTTGGCGATTCTCCGACAACTTTCTTGCGATTGTCTGATGGATGGTCCAGTGGTCGTGGATGTTGCAGCGACGGTTACAGTGGAACATAAGGACTTATTGGTAATAATTAAAAGTAAATAATATTATCATAAAGACTTATTAGTGCACCCATCTCCCTAACAAGACTTTTCAGTTAGGGCCCTTAATAGAATTAGGCCATACAAACTAGGCCTGAAGACCGTGTTCAAGCCCAATTCTAGATGCCTTGGGTATGGGCTGTCTTAAAATCCCATACTGGCCAGCCCATTTTGAGATTGAAAAAATAAAACTAATCCTGGGCCTGGTCCAGATATTACTCATAAGAACATTACAATTTACAAAGAAATGGAGGCCCAGAAATGGAGATGGTGAAAGTAGGGGTGCTCAGCAGATGAAAGTGAAAGGAAATAGATGTCACTGTCTTCGTCTCATATCTCCAATTATCAAAGGCTTTTTGTTTGAATTAAAGTGGGCCTGCTCTTATCCAAACAGGTTCTAGAGGTTTCTTTTTCTTTTTTTTTTTCTATAAAAATATTCTAAAAAATAAATTATTTATCAAAATTAATCCACTTTTCAAACTATTTATCAAATTAACTTACTTTTAAAAAAATGCAAGGTCAAAACGTGATTTCATCATAAAATCGCATGTTTACAATGTGATTTCATAGTGAAATCACATCTTAAAAATAAGATTTCATATTGTCATAACATACCGGTTTATAGATGTAGATCATTTCAATATGAAATAATATTTTGAATTTGTGATTTTAAAATTTGAGTTTTGATAAATAGTTTTTTTTTTTTTTAAACTAAGTTTTGATAAATAGTTTGAAAAGTTTACATATATAGTTCTTACAAATATATACCCAAGTTATTTTACAAAATTGCATAAGTTTTCATAAATATAAATAAGTTGTGATTTCTTAAATTTTTATGGGTTAACACACGTATGTTTGGAAAAACGTACCTGATTTTGTGAGATAACTTATGTATATTTATAAGAACTTACGCAACTGCATACGGTATCCACTTGCATTCTTAAAAATTGCCTTACAAAAAAAAGGAGAGACTTCTCACCGGTCCACATAGTGGACTGGAGTGTACTATTGAGCTTATGGGCCTATCATGGGTCCCGTTTCGATAATCCAAACCGTTCAATGTGTAAAAAATCACGTTGATCGGATATCGGTAACCTCTTGATAAAAACACATTTTTGTTAACGTGATTTTTTATAAATATAAAATAGTCAATAAACTTTATATATTGAATAATTCAGATTATCAAAACGAGTACCGCAACAAACTCCACGACCCCATCTCCTAAAAAAAAATATTGCAGCTTCAATAATCTTTGTACAATGCCACGTGGCAGCCCATTATATATACATTTACCATTTCCATGCTCTACTGTGCCGCATGTGAAGCATACCCTCAACATACTAAAATAAAAATGGGATTAATTATACTCACTCGAGGTTTGTGAAAAATATAATTAACCCCATATTTTTAAGGAAAAATTAGTAAAATATTCCTCTTTAACTTTGCGTAGTAGAAGAGGTTGAGGATGTTTTTTTTATTAGCTAATGTCTTTCAATATTTTTACAAAAAAAAAAATCGACTAAGAGAAATTTTGCATGACTCAAAGAAATTTCACTCGACTCAGAGAAATTTTGAAATTTCTCTGAGTCAAGACGAAATTTATCTGAGTTGGGCAAAATTTCTTTGACTCGAATTTTCTCTGTAAAAATATTGAGGGACTTTAACTATTATGAAAATATTATATGTCCTTTAACTTACAAAATCTTAATATCAAAAACCTTAAAAAAAAAATTCCCTATTTTTAAGTTATACTAAATTATCTTTTAATAAGATTAAAGAAACTAAAACTAATAACATGGTAGATAAATATTAAAATAAGTAAAAATAAATATATATTTTAATAGAAAGGAGATGACAACGTAAAAAAAAAAAAAAAAAAAAAAAAAAAAAAACAAAAAAAAAAAGTTTTGGGTTGCCCAACACTAACACATTATCAAAACCAATTGATTCCTACTCCAAGATTTCTCAACAACAAACAAAAAAATAGAAACCCAACAAACATAAACACACCATTTCATTAATAACACAAAAAGTTCAACCACAAAAATTAGCAAGAAACTTCCATACAATTATCACAAGCAAATAGAAAATAATATTTCTGTCCTCAAAAAAAAAAAAAAATATTCAAAAAACACACACACACACACACAAAACAAAAAACTACTTAAGAATATTATTAAGCTTTATAAGGTGACGATGGTCGTTCATAGCGACGAGCTAAGTGTTACGTAAGTTAAACTTTGAGATTGTATTCGAATAATGAATTTTGATACGAATTTGGAAAATAAACCGAAAAAACAGAGGCAAATATGAATGAAATCAGATTAATTTTCGTTATCCATACAGAGTTTAAATGAATCTAATGTAGTTATGTAAAAATAATAAAAGTTATTGTATTGTTTTCAAAACCTAAGGAAGGGTCCACATAATTTATCCAATTATTTTTGTAAGGTTAATCATAATTTGTATTTTTGTAATTTGACTCAAATTTTACACTAATCTGTATAATTTTAATTTGAACAGTTTAGGGTGCAATCAGGAAACAACTATCAACTAGTTTGAAAAGTTCTTCCATTTAGTAATAGAAGTCATCAGATGTCACTTTCTAAGGGTGTGGTAGATGTGCTTGAGAAGGTGGCCCTATATTTTAAATCTAATTATAATTTAGTCATTATGTTTAATTTAGAGGCTAAAATTAATAATTTTAAAATATTTATCAAAATTTTAAAATATGCACATTGACAGAATTAACAAAAATTAAGGTTTCGTTTGTTTCAAAGTAAAATACTTTATACAAAAAAATATTTTTATTGTAAATTGATTTTATATAAAAAAAAATGTTTTTGTTTTTGTTTTTCGGTGTTTGGTTGATAGTTGAAACAAAAATATTTTAATGCGTAAAAAAGAAATTTTGATTCAATAAGTGTCATTAATGACTTTTTAGTAAATTAAACTACTTATTTGAAAAGGCTAAATGTGTTGAAAAGATAGTGGTTGAGTGCCAACTTTATAAAAATTAATTTATGAAAATTTTAAAAATAAATCATTTTTTGTGAAAATAATGCAAAAATATTTTTTTTAAAAAAAATATTTTACTTACTTTTTGTTTAACTAAATAACAAAAAATAAGTAAAATATTTTTTATAAAAATAATTTACGCGAAAACAAACTAACCTAAACCACAAAAAGAATAAAGTAAAGTAAAATAAAAGTTGGTCAAACAGAGTGGGTGAAAGTATAATTAAGCCATTTTTGTATAATTTTAATTTTTCAAATCTCACAACTAAAAATGGGAGTGTTTGGGAGGAGGATTAGATTAAAATAGATTATTAAAAGATAAAATAAATTAAAATAATTAATAAAATAAAATATTATATCTAATTCATAATTATTTTTTTTTTCTTACAATCATCAAATTAATTTAAAAAAATTAACAATTTTCTAAAGATAATTATTTTAACCAAATTAAAATAATCAAAAAAATAAATACATAAATAAAAATAATCAAATAACCAATTAAAATAACCAATTGCAAGAGCTGCTGTGTTTGGTACAGCTCTGGAAGTTCCAGAGCTGATTTCAACAGGGCATTTGTTTATGAATTTTAAAAATTAATTCCACTTTTACTTTTGAAAACGTGGTCGAATGTGGAAAAATTTGGACTCACTGTTCATTCGACCGGTTAATCGGAACAGTACAATTTTTTTTTTTTACAATTGACACATATTAATTTTTATCTATTCAATAAAACATTTTTCAAATTTTTAAAAAAAATTTATGGGTTTTAATAGAGTTTTGAATTGTATATTTAGTTATGAGTTGTAAGTTTTTATATCAAATATTATATGTCACATCAAAATTTTTTAACTCAATTCAAAACTCTTTTTAAAACTTAGGCCTCGTTTAGGAACATGTTTTTTTAGTAACTTTTTAGTTTTTTTGTTAAAATATGATATATAAAAAACTAGTATGTTTAGGATGATTTTTTGACTTTTTACGAAAATATGTGTAAAAAGTAAAAAGAAAATTAAATCTTTAACCTTTTAGTATAAGTTGTTTTTTTTTTTTGACTTTTTTAGTAACTTTTGACTAAATCGATCGCTTCCCAAACGAGACGTCATTCACTAAACAAATTTTTCACACTCAAATTATAATTTTAAAACTCATAAATTTAAAATACATTTCTATTCTCAAATAATATTTATCAAAGTCTACCAAACGCAGCCTAACAATTTTACTTCACTCCAAATTGATCCTCTTCTCTTCTCTCTCTCCATTGTGATTGTTTGGCTTAGTACCACCGTAGTTGAAATAGGAAGAGCCACAGATGATTAGAACCGATGTGGGCAACTCCTGGATTCCGTCAAGCGGTTGTTCCGGCTCCGATAACCCTGACAGCTCACCTAAACCCAAAGCTTGTCTTCGACTTTCAAAATACTAACAAACACCCATCCTACCGTTTGGGTTTGGGTTTTCATCCTCCGCCGGAGACAAAGTTCAGAGTTCCGGCGGCCAAGAAACACCACCTCCCTCAATTGCAGACTTCCAAACCAAGTTCTCTTCACTTCTTCTCTCTCCTTCTCTCTCTCTCTATATATGTATAGATATACTCAAATTCACTCACTGATATACGTATATACTGTTTTGTTGGTTTTATTGTGAGTTGCAGATGGTGAATCAACTTCATCACAAGAGGAGGCTGCTGATAAAGGAATTGATTTGGGATGGTTGCCTGCATTCCCTCACGTTTTGGTTGCTTCCATGTCCAATTTCCTCTTCGGTTATCACATTGGGTAATTATCTCTCTCTCTCATGTTATCTTAATGGCTGATTACTGGGTACATGGGCTGCTTCACGGTATTATGATTGGTAGAGAAGGTGGGTTATTATAATTTTTTTGTTTTGTTTTTGTATTGGGTGATCGAGGAACATGGGGTTGAGGGCACGGTGAATGATGATTTGTAAAGAACACGTTACGGATTTACTTACCTGAAAATACAGATTGCCCATATGATTTTAAAATTTACAAATATTTTATTTGACAAAATTAACTGAAAAAATAAAATTTTTAACTATTTTTTTATATAATATTAAAATTGTCTGAATTATTAATTGAAATAAATTTATAATATTATTAAAAACTATCAATTAACTTGATAATTTATTAATAAAATGGGCTATTTGTTACAAAATTAAAAACTTTAAGGGCCGGGATGTAATTTCTAAAATCATAGGGAGTGATTCATATTTTAAACATATCTTAGGGGTATATTTGTAAAAGAAATGATTGGATGATGATTATAGAAGACAAGAGAGACAATGTTGTCTTACATATTCTAATAGACTACCAAATCATTGAGCTTGAAAAGTGGGTCTAACTTTTGAATTAGAGTAGCACTACTAATTTTACTATCGTAGCGTCTAGTTTTAACAAATTAATTAGCCTAGAAAAAAAAATCGTAAATGAAGCACTTGAATTTAATAGCTTTTAATATTTATGCACTCTGATGGGTTATAGTCATTTGAATTTGATGGTTTCGTTTTGCTTTTATTTATTGGGTGTATGATGCAGAGTAATGAATGGTCCTATTGTATCTATTGCACGGGAGCTTGGTTTTGAAGGAAACTCATTTATTGAGGGACTAGTAGTGAGTATATTCATAGCCGGAGCATTTATTGGAAGCATCATCTCTGGTTCATTGGTCAATAAACTGGGTTGTCGACGCACCGTTCAGGTTGACACAATACCACTTATTCTTGGTGCCATTATAAGGTAATTTAAATTCTTGATTGACACAAATGAAGAAATTAAAATTTGGTACTTAATAAGAAAAGGTAAAATTTTTCAAAGGATAATAAAATTATATGTTTAATAAGCACATAGACAAGATCATTCATATTGTATGCATTCGCATGTCTAGATGGGATGGGGTTATCCATTTTGATGTGCGGCACTCTGATTATTTCCATGTATCATACCTTCTTTTGTCTTTAGTTAGACATGTTGTATAACTTTTCTTTTTTATCTTGATCACTTTCAATTTGTAACAGTGGACAAGCTCACTCCTTGGATGAAATACTCTGGGGAAGATTTCTTGTTGGCCTTGGCATTGGGGTGAACACGGTTCTTGTTCCTATTTATATTTCAGAGGTAAAATTTGGCTGAATTTTCAAATTTAGTTTGTTTAAAACTATATTTATTTATAGTCACGTGCTCTAGAAATTATATGATAGTATCATCAATTGCCATTTTGAGGGGGGAAAAGGTATATAAGTTTCTTTTTGTCGTTCATATTAGTTGTAATTGTAAGCTTTGTTTTACCTTGTCTCAGTATGGTAAAGGAAACGATGGAAATTTATGTAGATTTAATAGGATGTACTAGATGATAAATGTTTGGAAGTCCCCTGAAATGGAAAAAGATATGTGACTGCTTGAGATTTTCTGTAATCAATGTTAATAATGTATTTGAAAGAACCATATTTAATGCATGTTAACAATGTCCTTGAAACAACAATATTAAAGAGAAATTACTGAGAAGTCTCCTCAAATGCTGAAATTCGAGTGTATGATTGTAACACCTTGTCCCATATCGGAAGTTTGCATGGGTGATCTTGGGCATATAAAGCACCACTACCTTGTTACTAAATAACTTGGACTTAAACTTTTGGATATTATTAGTCGACCCACAAGTTACTTGGGCCAGCAAGTACTAGGGCGTTTCAAATGGTATTAGAGCCGACCCATGCACACAACCATGTGGGCCACTTATTCTAGACTGGCCACGAGCTTGTCGTAGTATTCGGATTGATTCTAAACCCTCGCGAGGACGCGAGGATTTATAAGTGGGGGAGTTTCGCGATTTGTAAGTGGGGGAGTTTGTAATACCCTGACCCACATCGGAAGTTTGCATGGGTGATCTTGGGCATATAAAGCTTATTGGTCGACCCTGTTGACCCACAAGTTACTTGGGCCAGCAAGTAGTACAGCGTTGCAATGATGTTTTGCAAAATGTTGATGGCTTGCCCTTGATCAAGGCAAGCATACTACGAAGCTATACTTTCCGTTCCACCCTCATGAAGGGTTTTCCGTAGTATTATGAAGTTGTAATTCAATTTTCAAAGAGGTTGACTAACATCCAAGCTAGATTGGGTGCATTCCAATAACAATTTGTGCTGAAGCTGGTAATCTGTACTTGTTTTTATCTCTTTATCATTGCAGAAGCTAAGTTGGCTTTAAAAAAAGAAAAAGAAAAAATGTGTACTTGTTTTTAACCCACTACACCACTATCACCATCCACTACACACCATCCACTACACCTACATCTATATAAGGAACCATTTGTAATAGACAGAATATGAATCAACATACATCAATAAATAATACTTCAATTTTAACAATCTGATATATTGAAATGGCTATATCCAGCTTTCATGCTCTATTTAAATTAAGTAGTAATGCATTATTTATGTTGCGCTGATTTATTGTTCCTCTAGATAGAAGGAAATCAAGTAGTTTAGGTTAAACATAACAGGACATGTGGAAATAATATTGGATTGGGAAATATAAATTGTAAATTTGAGAATGAACTTTTGGGAGTGAATTGCGATGCTTGTTTGAATAAATAAAAGGGAAGCATATGTTATATTCTTTTGTTATTTTGATAATTTTGGAATTTCACAATTTGTGATCCAATCAGCATGCAATATTTGTGATTTTTGACATCTGTTATACGAAGAATAGTAGAGTGATTAATAAATTATGAAGCATATGAAGTACTGTCAGGATCGATCCTGTTTCATTCATGTTCTGCATCTATTCTAGTCATCTAGAAGGTAGGTGGTATATCACGTTCAGCCAGAGTTTAAATGTATCTTGTTTTCAGGTGGAGAACAATTCTCTATATTGCGAGTGTCCCTGGATTTATTTTATCCCTTGGTATGCAGTTTGCTGTAGACAGCCCAAGGTGGCTATGCAAAGTAGGACTCTGTTTTATTTTCTACAAATTATCTTTAAATTATTTTTCGCATGCTTTTATTAATCTGTTATTCTATCGCTTGTGTAGGTAGGAAGACTAGAAGATGCTAAAGAAGTTATCCGTAACCTTTGGGGGCCATCTGAAGTCAACAAAGCAATTGAAGAATTTCAGTCGGTCAATAGGAATGATGATTTGGAGAGCGGATGGCTGGAACTCCTAGAGCAGCCACACACTAGAGGTTGTATTAAGGTTGTTTTCTGTCTATTACAAATGGTTCCTTATATAGATGTAGGTGTAGTGGATGGTGTGTAGTGGATGGTGATAGTGGTGTAGTGGGTTAGGTTTAGTGGAGTAGGTGAGGTGGTAGTGGTGTAGTGGGTTAGATGTAGTGGAGTAGGTGAGGTGGTAGTGGTGGTAGGTGATGGTAAATGTGGAGTAGGTGAGGTGGTAGTGGTGTAGTGGGTTAGATGTAGTGGAGTAGGTGAGGTGGTAGTGGTGTAGTGGGTTAGATGTAGTGGAGTAGGTGAGGTGGTAGTGGTGTAGTGGGTTAGGTTTAGTGGAGTAGGTGAGGTGGTAGTGGTGGTAGAGAGTAACAAAACAAGAAAATACATAAAAATAAAAGAGGATAGGAGACACTGTATGGTCGTGTCAGACCGTTGTAGAAGACTGTATGGTTATGGCAGTCCGATGTAGAAGATAGTTTATGGGGTCATGTCGGACCGTTATAGCAGACAATGTTGTGACAGTTTACAGAGTCTTGCTGGACCCTTGTAGAAACTAACCGGAATCAATGTCGGGACAGTTTACAGAGTCTTGTCGGACCCTTGGAAAAGCTAACCGGAATCAAATGTCGAGACAGTTTATAGGGTCATGTCGGACCGTTGTAAAAGTTGCACCCTCAAAAGGTGTGCCCAATCTTTCAAAAGGTGTGCCATCAAAAAGCGTGCCCAATTCATCAAAAAGCGGGCCATCAAAAGTTGCGCCCTCAAAAGGCGCGCCCACTTCATCAAAAGTCGTGCCCGACAGAAAGCGTCGAGCCATCAAAAGGGGCGCCTGACACGCGGCGATGCACGTGATTGACAGAGCGCATGTCGGCGTCGTCGTCTCTGTCTTTATAAACCAAAGCGAAGTCTGAGGCTTGGAAGCATAACAAACCAGTTGAAACCTCTTCGTTCTCTGTAACATTCTGTAACCAACCCTTCTCTGAAACACTCAGCAACCCAAAAACATGGCTTCTTCTTCCCGTTCAGCTACCCAGAACATAGCCTCTTCTTCCCGTGGTCTGCTCACTCTCTTTCCCGACCTCAACGAGTCAACAAGAGAGATAACTGGTGCGGTGGCCAGTGAACCTCAACCAAGCGCCTCTGGTTTTGCTCCGTTGAACTTTCCGATGCGGTCGGTGGAGCAAAAAATGGCGGTGCAAACTGATATTGAGGCCAATCAGTATACTTTGAAGTCATGTGTGGAGACCATGACGGCGGTCACAAACCTGTCGCACCGGCTGCAGAGTAGGACAAATGAGGTGCAACAGTTAAACGCCCAACTGGCTCTGCTCCAGCGCATGTATAAGGATGCGCGAGCAGAGATAAATGTGCTAAAGGCAGAAAATAAGGAGCTGAAGCGGAAGGCCACCGTGATGTTCCGATTTGGAGGACCGCCATATGCTGCAGTGGAGGAGCAGGGAGTAGTGATCATGCCCAGTGGAGTGGGAAAATAAGACCAGAGTAAAACCTCAAAATTGTGCCACATGAATGAGTTGTAAGAACCCACATAGATAACCACTAAGATGCCAAGTAACCCACTGTGACATCTTCCTGCGAAAATGATGCCCTATGCACTCACTTGGTTGCTTATGTGACAACAAGGAGATTAGATTCCTTGTTTGTGGAAAACATCATGTGGCTATGTCTGGAGTCCCATGAGTCCCGTGCAGGTGGCTTTCAGCTTCCATTTTAAGTAACTGCAAAATAATATGATCTGTGTTTTACTTATGTTTGAGATGGAGGACATTGTCAGATAATGGTAACTGATTGTAACACTGAAATTAAGCAGGGTTGTTGGTGAAGTGGCATATACAGGGAAACATTGCTGGGTTCTATTTGACAATGTAGCAGCTGGTGAATTCACATCTAAGGTAGTTCATGAGGTGAGTTTCAAAATGACATAGCTGACTAAAATTCTGCCAAGGGTAAATGGCTATAGTCCATGGTCCTGCCAGCAGTGATCTGATTATCTTAATGTAATTCTTCCATTGGCAGTGTCCAGATGAATGGCTACCTCAGCTTGCAGCTGGTATCAAGGTAACTTACTATTCAGTTACATTATAACAGTGGGTTGAACTTCATATATTGTGAGTGGAGGGTGTATCCTCTGACCAGTTGAACCACAAATTGGCTTCTCTGAATAAATAATTTGTTCATTTTTCATGTGGTTCCCATGCAGACGATTTTGCTAGTGCCTGTTGTTCCATGTGGAGTTTTGCAACTTGGCTCATTGGAAAAGGTGTGTTTTCATCGATAGAAGGGCATTATTTGGTATCGTGGTCAGATGCCTTCTTGAATCTTCTTTTAGTGATCTTTCAGTGTCTTCACCAATGGTCTGACACGACCATACAGTGTCTCCTATCCTTTTTTATTTTTATGTATTTTCTTGTTTTGTTCCTCTCTTCAAACTCAAGTTGGTTAGTTTCTATCCTCCTTGAGTTTGCGGGGGGCTGTTAGAATTTACCATCACCTACCACCACTACCACCTCACCTACTCCACTAAACCTAACCCACTACACCACTATCACCATCCACTACACACCATCCACTACACCTACATCTATATAAGGAACCATTTGTAATAGACAGAATATGAATCAACATACATCAATAAATAATACTTCAATTTTAACAATCTGATATATTGAAATGGCTATATCCAGCTTTCATGCTCTATTTAAATTAAGTAGTAATGCATTATTTATGTTGCGCTTATTTATTGTTCCTCTAGATAGAAGGAAATCAGGTAGTTTAGGTTAAACATAACAGGACATAAGGAAATAAGATTGGATTGGGAAATAGGAATTGTAAATTTGAGAATGAACTTTTGGGAGTGAATTGCAATGCTTGTTTAAATAAATAAAAGGGAAGCATATGTTATATTCTTTTGTTATTTTGATAATTTGGGAATTTCACAATTTGTGATTCAGTCAGCATGCAATATTTGTGGTTTTTGAAATCTGTTATACAAAGAATAGAAGAGTGATTAATAAATTATGAAGCATATGAAGTACTGTCAGGATCGATCCTGTTTCATTCATGTTCTGCATATATTCTAGTCATCTAGAAGGTAGGTGGTATATCACGTTCAGCCAGAGTTTAAATGTATCTTGTTTTCAGGTGGAGGACAATTCTCTATATTGCGAGTGTCCCTGGATTTATTTTATTCCTTGGAATGCAGTTTGCTGTAGACAGCCCAAGGTGGCTATGCAAAGTAGGACTCTGTTTTATTTTCTACAAATTATCTTTAAATTATTTTTCGCATGCTTTTATTAATCTGTTATTCTATCGCTTGTGTAGGTAGGAAGACTAGAAGATGCTAAAGAAGTTATCCGTAACCTTTGGGGGCCATCTGAAGTCAACAAAGCAATTGAAGAATTTCAGTCAGTCAATAGGAATGATGATTTGGAGAGCAGATGGCTGGAACTCATAGAGCAGCCACACTCTAGAGGTTGTATTAAGGTTGTTTTTAGTGTCCCATATGGACAGGCTTTGAACTTTTAATGGTAGTTAACATTGCTAGGCGTCATTGTTAGAATCACTTTATATAGTTTTATATATATATATATATATATATATTATAAATACACAATGTTTAAAATGAAATAAATATCAATATAACTAATGACTTTTTTTTTAAAAATTTCGTAATAGCGAGGCAAAAATGACATTGTTTTGTGCATTATGAAAATAAAAACAAAAACAACTGAATCACTGTGAATCATTATGAATCACAAATTGAATTGCACGATTCACTCATTTTCCGATGAAACAACACGACTCCAATTGTTTTGGTTGAAACTTATATCGAATCATGGATCATATGATTCTAAAAACCATGCTAGGCACCACTCCTTTGAACATTATCTTTTCAAAGACACGACACGTGTGCACTTATATTCAACCTGCTTTCTTTGATCGTTGGAACTCGGAAGTGGTGAGAAATACAAACAGGCACAAATAGTTCTGATAAGGATTGGTTTAGATGAGTTTAGAAGAAGTTCTAGGAATACAAGTTCTTTTCCCAGTAATGATCAATGCTTTCATTATCCGACAAGTGATTGCCTTCTTGGTTCTCATTTTTCTCATGCTTACAAATTGTGAACGGTGCACTTTAGACACCCCTAAGGAGATGCCATTTTCACTCAGTTCTATTTTTGATATGTGCAGTGTTATGTTTTTGTGGTATTATCTGGATCCTCCTGTTGTATTTTAGCACGCAATATGTCCTTATTTTGAGTTATTTGACATATCTGTCCTCAGTTTCAGTCACAAATTTCTTTATCGCTGCAGTTGCATTCATTGGAGGTGCCCTTTTCATACTTCAACAGTTTGCTGGTATAAATGGAGTTCTTTATTTTTCGTCATTGACTTTTCAAGGTGTTGGAATTACGAGTGGTGCTTTAGCAAGCTTATTTGTCGGACTTACCAACTTTGCAGGTTCAGTATAAATTATGGATATATTTGTATATCATATTAGTATGATACACGCATGAAAAATATGATGTTGGCACTCATGTCCAGGTACACTTGGTGCTTTATACTTGATGGATAAGCAAGGGAGGAAAAGGCTTATAATTGGTAGTTACTTGGGAATGGTGAGTGAAGTGAAAGTGAGATGCTTCTTATCTTATGACATTTTTTTTGGGATGGAGATAAATTGAGTAGCTTACACATAGCTTGAGCTATTGGTGGGATACTTAACTATATAATACAACATGTCAACTCAAAAGCTTTGGAGCATGGATACTTCTAAATGGAGTCATATCTATGTCGTACCCATATTCCAGATATTGATACTCCTTGGATACTCGCTGATACGTCCAGTACTTTCTAAACATATCCGATATTTAATGTTAATTTTGAGAAGTATCAGATACTTTTCAAATACTCTAGGTCACATATCCAAATTATTATGAAATCGAGATTGTAATAATTTTTGCATAGTATTAGAGTATGATTGTTAGAATAAATACAAAGTAGGTTTTCAATATTTTCTGATTTCTTATCGAAGAAGAAAATAGTGAAATTAAAGTAGTAATGCTAATTTTTTAGATTTTATCAAATTAATTTGTCCACTAAAAAAAAGAACAGAAAAGAAAAGAAAAAGGGGAAAAAATAGTAAAATAATATTTTTGAGTTAATGTATAATATAATACTAAAAATTATTTTAAAAAAAATTAATGCATCCTATTCATATCCATATCCTATTTTTTAAGATGTTGTCGTATCGCCATATTCTTGTATCATATTCTGTATCCATGTTTCATAGCTCAGAAAGGGTGTTTGAGAATGAGGAAATATTGGTACATTTCGTCTTGTGTACACTCATACAATACGAAAATGGAGGGGAATAACTATTTGTTTAAGGGAGGCAGTTGGTGGGAGTGGGACAGTTGGTTCTCTTTTAGATACATTTTGCTGTCTAAATGTTTATTCTTGATTACATAGCCCATAGACTAACCCACAAATTCTGGCTTTGTGCAGGCAATATCGATGTTTCTAGTAGTCTATGCTATTAGCTCTCCAATGGATGAAGAGCTTGGTCACAACTTATCAATATTGGGAACTGTCCTGTATGTTTTCTTCACCATGTGGCATTTACATGTGATTTTTAAGATATAAATTATTAAATCAATTGAGTTTAATTGTAGCATTCTCAGCTTACTTATAGCAGAAAATCTATAGATGCGCTATATTATTGGATTCTGTCTTTTACATGCTTTTAGGTACATCTTTACCTTTGCTATTGGAGCTGGCCCAGTAACTGGTCTTATTATACCGGAGCTTAGTAGCAGCAGGATGCGTGGGAAGATCATGGGTTTCAGTTTCTCAGTTCATTGGGTATGTTTCACAAACCTGTTCGATAATTAATGAGAAACAAATATTAATTGTGAAGTGTCGGTAAAAAAAAAAAAGAAGAAGTGAAAAGTAAAATTGTGAAAGGTCGGTAAAAAAAAGTGAAAAGTAAAAAATTAAAAAGAAAGAAATGGGTGAAGTTCTAGAGAATCGTTGTTTCTGTCTCATGATTTAGCTTTGCATGTAGGTGTCACAATTTTGTAGACTTGCTCATAAGATATAAATGGGCCGATTAGAATGATATATATATATATAATTATCTTGTAAAGTAGAGAATTTTTTATTTAAAATTTATTTTAAAGAGTGGAAACTTATTTAACTTATTTATCAAATTACATTAAATGTGGTTACTGAACATGTTTTCAGAAAGCGTACTTAGTAAACAAATGCCTTCAAATTTCCTCGTTTTGAAGTTTGATCTAGAGTATAATTTTGTTGAAAGTCAAAAGTGTAGAGAAACCGTGATTGCTAACGATGCTTTTTATTAAAATGTTGTTAGCAATCATGTTTTCATCAAAGTTTGAACAAGTATGAAACAAAAAAGTGTGGTTACTATCAGTGGCGGAGCCAGAAAATTAAATTAGAGGGGGCACTTATTAATTATATTATTGAAAAATTTTACAAAAATATTTAATGTAAGTTTTTACGATTGATTTCGAGGAACATAAAAAAAAATAATGTTATTTATAACTAGTGTATCATGGACAATATGAAAAAATATGGATATAAGTCTTAAAATAAATTATATAATGATAAAAAACATTTATACAAAATTTGATTAAAAATTCAATATAATGGTAATACCACGTCATCATTAGTATGTGATATCACCAATTAATAGTAAATAAACACATAGAGAGTGAACCTCACATGTCAGACGTAACTAACAATCCAATAAATTTCATATCTTTATAGTGAGATTAGTTATACTTGCATGTCAATAATAATGATATCACCATTACATTCAAAAATTTTCATAAAATTTTCATAGATGATATGGTTTATAATAGTCTCTTCATTTTCATTCAAAACAACTATTATTGTTCTCATAGTTTTTAAAATGTCATTGATATTTCACTCTCATAATATTTTCGTAATTTTTTTTATTTAAAATATTTTCTTTATATTTACAACAAAACAACAACAACAACGCCCAATTAGTACACATTAATATGTGTTTGGGAGGAGAAAAATTGAGTACACACCTAACCTTTGACATAATACACATAATGGTGGTCCCAAGACTTGAACTTATAACCTTAAGGTTATTAGGCCAAGTTTTAACCATTAAATCAATGATCGTTCTCTTTCTTTATATTTGCAAAAAATAAAAAAATCTCAAAATTCAGGGGGGGCACGTGACCCCCCTCATCCCTTGCTGCCTCCGCCACTGGTTACTATACATGCTTCCAAAAAAAAGTGTTTATTAATCACGCCTTCATATAATTTGAGAAGTTGAACAAGACTCGTTTTCTTAAAATAAAATTTATAATAAACATAATAATGGTAAGAAGCCTTGTAAATGTATGTTTCTAGTACTTCAAGCATACCTATTTGATGATGCTTTTGGTGGACTATATTTGTAATTCAAACTGTAGCTTAGTTTGCATTTGTCATGTGACTCAGGTTTGTAATTTCTTGGTTGGTCTGTTCTTCCTTGAACTTGTGGAGAAATTTGGAGTTGCTCCAGTTTATGCAAGCTTTGGTGCGGTTTCCTTGCTGTCAGCAATATTTGCTTACAATTTTATCGTTGAAACTAAAGGACGTTCCCTTGAAGAAATTGAGATGTCTTTAAATCCCAATTTTGCGGCCAAGGATGAGTGACCGGTATCTAAATCCTTGATCAAGAGAAGTAGAGACGACACAGAAAGTTTATCTAGCTTGAGCCTTAGTTGCAGAAGATGGTTATTCTGATGTGGCTGTCTTCAGGCATTTAAGGTTATTTTGAAGTCTTGTATTTTCATTGCATTTCGGATTATGATAGATTTTATTTCGTTTTCTTTGGTGTACTATTGAAATTGTACAGTTAGTTTCTTTGTGACAGTTTATTTTTGGACATAGTGTTATTGTGTTAATTGAAATAGCCTTTTTGTGTGTTGATTGTGACATGCTCTTAACTTTAAGGGTGTGCTTGGCTGCATGAATTTCAAGCGAAGACAGCCTCTGATGTGGCTGTCTTCAGGCATTTAAGGTTATTTTGAAGTCTTGTATTTTCATTGCATTTCGGATTATGATAGATTTTATTTCGTTTTCTTTGGTGTACCATTGAAATTGTACAGTTAGTTTCTTTGTGACAGTTTATTTTTGGACATAGTGTTATTGTGTTAATCGAAATAGCCTTTTTGTGTGTTGATTGTGACATGCTCTTAACCTTAAGGGTGTGTTTGGCTGCATGAATTTCGAGCGAAGACAGCCTCTAATTTGTATCAAGATGTGAATTCTGCATTCCAAACCCACTCAATGGCTCTTGGTTGCTGTTATAAAACCATTCAATTCTCATGAACTCTACTGATATTAAGAGATATAGCAGTTGAGATACCTCTATCATGTTATTAAGAGATACAGCAGTTGAGATCACTCTATCATGTTATTTTAGTGTCTTATTTTTAAATATCAAAACTTTATTATTGCATGTCAGATAGTTCCATTAATTTGTGAGATTTGTATGCTTAAAAAGTACATTGTTTTGGGGAACAAATTGTCTCTAATCCAAAATTTGGATTGGAGACCTGTGGAACTTATCATAGGTCCTATTTCAGTTATCTGAACTATTAATTTTGTAGGGTCTTTGCATGTAATTCTTAGAAAAAATTAGATCAATCCAAAAATTATAATATGTTAAGTTTATCATGTTTGTTTTAAAAAAAAAGAAAAAACTTAAGTATTTTTTAAAAATAGATCATTTATTTATTTTTTTTAATAACTTATATAGTCGAACAAAGGTCACCTGGTTATGGGGTGGCAACTAGGATTTTTAGGGCATGGGAGGTGGCGGCTATGGTTTTTAAGGGCAAGAGAGGTGGAAGTTCTGGCAATTGGAGGTAGTGGGGGTGATTGAAGGTAGTCAAAGTGAAGGAGGTAGTAGTTGCCGTGGGTATGGGATTAGAGTTTGAAAGTTAGGAATGAGGTTAGTTTGGTTATTAGGTAGGGTATTCAAAGAAAATTTTGTAAATTTTGAAATTTGTCAAAGAAGTTGAGGTTTAAAAAAGAAATGTAGGGACATTTAGAAACTCATAATCTGACAACTCCAATTCGAGAAGATAGTGGCCCTGTTTGGTACAGTTTAATTTCAGTTTATTTCAGCTTTCAGCTTAATTTAAGCTATTTTGATGTGTTTGGTTTAGCTTATAGCTTATAGCTTATAGCTTTGTGGAAGTCAGAAAACAGCTTATTCTTTGAGTGGGGCAGGAGATGCTTTAAGAATAAGCTGGAAATCAGCTTAAGCTGAAAGTTATAAGCTATAAGCTGTTTAGGCATAAGCTATAAGCACTTTTCCACAGCTCTACCAAACAGGGCCAGTGTAATTTTAGAAATTGTAAGAGCGGTCTGTATAATTAACCTATTTTAATTTTAATGGGCTTCTATTTTTTTTTATCAATTTGTAACAATTGCGCAAATGCTAAAATTTGATAATGCATGACAATTGGAACAACATTATCAAACTATTATATTTTTATGGGTGAAACACCAATAAATCTTAAAATGTGATCTTTATCGACAATAGACCTATTCGAGACCAAACTTTTTGGTTGCCAAGATTAACAATTTTATCCACTAATTATTTAGTCACCAAATGTACCCTTTTGCCTACCAACATTTTGGCTGACAAAGCCACAATTTAGTCACCAACATCCAACAAAATAAACCTGTAATTGAAGACAAATATTCCATCTAATTCATTCAATATAATCTGTAATTAAAAAGAATTATTCATACCAACAAAGTATCTGAATCATAAATATTCAACGAAATACATAAATCATCTAATCCTGAACGTGTTTAATAAAAGTCAGCAACTATTATAAGTTCCCATCCACAAGTAATTCCAAAGTACATATTCCTTCAATTAAAATTCCAATTCACATCCTGACTAGCATAAAAATTTTAAACATAACAAGTACTTGTTATTACGTTTTAAATTTTTATCTATGCGCATCTATCAAAAAATATAACTAGTAGTCTACCCAAATATTTTCCATATACACGCATCCAAAAATATAACTACCAGTCTATCCAAAAATACAAGTATTAGTCTATCGAAATATTTTCCATATACATCTATCTAAAAATATATAATCCTCCCAAAAATGTTTATGCTGCCAATTAGTCCTGTACAATTTAGTTTCGTGCATGAGTTCATCCATATATACCGAAGAAAAATAATGTCAAGAATTGAGCAATCATTAAACCTTGTTTGTCTAAAATGTGGTAAAACACTTAAAATTTTACTTTCAAACTGGAGGGATGAAACTCCCCCCCAAAAGACCACATAGATGTGATTTGAGAATTAGTCACTACAAAACTAAATCTTTGTTTAGATGCTTCTAGTAGATTGTCCAATACTGTATATGATTATTCAGAACATGCAAACATGTTCTCTGCCATACCACACTATTACTTGACATCAAACCAACCATCGTGTTTACATAGTGTAAGAATCTCAAAAACATCGGATGCAACTATTTTTGCAAGAAGAAAATTCTATCGTTACTGAATACAAGAAAGGCATTCCCTTGTCATTTCATGCAAGTTAATTTTGTGATATAGAAAACAAACATCTTAGAATGAGACGTCTAACTTTTCGAGAAGTCTACCCACCACTACTAAGGCCATAAATCTTTCTATTACACCATACGCATCACATTAACTAGACATGTGATAGTTTGACCCACCATTTAAATAAGCTTAGACTTCTTTTATTTCTGACAAAAGCATGGATGTTGGCATTAACTAGTCAACAACACTTACAAGGAAAGGGCCACTAATTTTCTCACTCAAGTGCCTCCAGAGTCAATTAATTAGCACAAGAGCCATGCTTACCTACAACTTTTCAGAGTTTACACGAGCAGTATGAATTTAAACACTTCATGGACATTCCAGTCAATTGAAATTTATACGATATACAATATTTAAATTTTCTTTAAAATTTTCCAAACAAAAAGCAATTGAACTTATTTTATAAAAATTAATATTACTAGAAAGGTTTATTAACTTATTCAAAAAATAAAAAGAGTGACAATGTTATTTTTTCCTTTAGTTTGTCTAACCTTTTTTTACAAATATCTACTCATCACAAGATTTGATTCTCTTAGGCTACTCTAACTCTAGCAGATTGGACAAAACACCTATAGTTCTCGCAAAAATATTTAGTTCTTGTAATCCAATGTTACACGCACAATATTAAGTCACTTCGTCATCCATTTATTTTTGCCTTTTTTTATCACATTATTTGGTCTAAATATCTAATCGTGCATCTTACCGACATATCGGTTGCTCTCACAAGCTTGTTTAATTTAGACCGAGGTGACCGTTATGATCTCGGGGGTGTTTCGAGGTTGTTTTCAATTTCTGACCCCAAATGGCCCGTTTTTGCCTTTTTTATCACATTTTTCGGTCTAAATATCTAACTGTGCGTCTTATCGATGCGTCGCTTGCTCTCACAAGTTCGTTTAATCTAGCCCAAGGTAACCATTATGATCTTGAGGTTGTTTCTAGGTTGTTTCCAATTTTTCGCCCCAAACGGCCTGTTTTTGCCTTTTTTATCACATTTTTTGGTCTAAATATCTAACCGTGCATCCTATCAACGCGCTGCTTGCTCTTACAAGTTTGTTTAATCTAGTCCAAGGTGACCATGATGATCTCAGGGGTGTTTCAAGGCTGTTTCCAATTTCTGGCCCCAAACAGCTCATTTTCACCTTTTTTATCACATTTTTTGGTCTAAATATTTAATCGTGTGTCCTATCAACGCGCCGCTTGCTCTCATAAGTTTGTTTAATCTAAGCTGAGGTGACTGTGATGATTTCGGGGCTGTTTGGGGGCTGTTTCCAATTTTCGCCACCAAATGGCCTGTTTTCGCCTTTTTCTCTCACGTTTTTGTGTCCAAATCTCTAATCATGTCTCCTATCGATGCACCGCCTGCTCTCACAAGTTTGTTTAATCTAGTCTGAGGTGACTGTGATGATCTCGAGGCTGTTTGGGGGTTGTTTCCAATTTTTTCTCCCAAATGTCATCCTTCAAAATAAAGAGCAAACCAAACTAAAAATGATCAAACCAAAATAGAGAACAACCCTTAACAGCAGCAGAGCAAATGATCACCTACCCCAAACTATTAGACCATCACAACAGTAGTAGTAGTAGAGCAAAGGCTCTTTTGTTTGGACAGTAAAAACTTAAGGCTGATTACTTCTATTTGTGTGTATCCTTATATCTACTCTTGAAATTTAACTTGAGAAGATATATTGCATATTGATGCTATGTTTGATCTATTGTTTGTTATGTTTCAACAAATAATTTATAATTAGATCAAACAACAAAAATATATAACAAAAACATTACCTATAAACTCTTTAACATACTTCCAAATGCAAGGTGGTGATTTCCCTCTCAATACCTGAAGCAAGATAAAAGTCCAACTAGTGTCAACCAATGCTAGGCATTAAACCATAAGATTGCCTGTTCAAATCCATCTTCTTAGAAAATATAATGGCAAAGCATTTAAGTTGAGGCAAGCAATGTATTAGTTTTACGGTTCCTATACTATGTAATCGCTCAAACTCTTATGCATTAATTTGTGCTACTGATCCTTTTTTTAGTCACTAAAAGAAGTTGAGTAACTTGTCTGATTAGGCAACCAAAAGGAAGTTTCAACATTTTAATACTAGTTCCAAAACTATTAAGATAAAGAGTGGCCCTTTTTCCCTGAGAACATGCAGCCTTTTCTTTCTTCATATTTCTCAATCTCAAGTAATCTTCCTAGATTACTAAACTCAACGTTTTCAACCATTCCAATCATTCCATCTATAAACAAAGTTTAATCTTTGAAAATGAATGAGACAATAGGATTGAAGACACATATTACATAAACTAGATCAGATGAAGAT